ACTGGCGCCAGTGTGGCCCGAGTGGCAGTGCGCAAATACTTCTAACAGTAGGATCTTTTCAGGGTTGAGCACCGTCCCAATTGACTGTCTTAAAATGTGTGCCCAGCATTTTCTGGGGAGCCACTAAGGACACCCAGCGCCTTCGCCAGCTTACCTCAGCATGTGTCAGCATATGCGTGTCCGCGTGCGTCAGCATATGCATGCGTCCATCAGTTCGGACATTACAAGGGACAAAATTGTCCAGCGTCTCTACTGAACGTAAGCCAAACTTGAGTCAGCACGAAGCTCGTTGTTCTGCGCGTTTCCAGCTAGCGTCAGGAAGTAGCACTTCACTGCACAGAGGGTCTGACAAACCGAGACGGACGTAGGAGCGATGTGTGTGCAGAGGCGCTTAGACTGTTGTAGCAACGATTGCAGGGCGCGAGTTTGTCGCCACTTCGTGCTCTTATTGCTCTGAAAGACGAGCAAAGTTAGATCTGTACTGGCTCCTTTTTTGCCCTTTTTCCAATCACTTTCTCTCAGCAGCCTCCTGAGGATCCTTCTCGATTAGCCCGCTTTGTTCCTCCCCATGAGTCGCTAGGTTTCGCGTTGACCGAGAATGTAAGCTTTCACTCCGTGGTCCTCAAAGCGATTAAAAAGACCTCTCCGTTAGACGGCTCAAAGAAGCACGAACATGATTTCGCATTGCAATTAGCGGGATAGCATTCGAAGGTGACTAGATTGGAGTTGGAGGATGCGAGAAGGGCCAAGGATCGTCTGTCAATGCAGAACCCTATTCTCACCGAACTTTTTCCGCGGCCAATGCACCTAGAGCTGTTCAAATAGTCGCCCACAATCCCAAAAGATAAGATACTGTTAGGGGTGGCCTTCTCCCGAGCATGGCGACTCATGAAGGCCCCCACTTCTTCGGGGCCACGTCAGCCTCACGTCAGGCGTCTGCCTCCAGCACAGACCCGTGCGCGCGCGATCCGGAGATCGGGAAAGCCCCCGAAATTGCGCAGGCGGAGCAGGGTTCGAAGGTGGGTGACGTCATCCTTGACAGGAGAAAACTGCTTTGTTGGGAGAAGGGTGGCGGGTACACATGCTTGGCTTGTTTGTCAAGCTCTCAGTAAGGCATGGTGAGCTGTAAGGAATAATGCTGCGCCACGGATAGTTTCCGAGAGCGTAAGGAGCATGTGATGTTTCAAGGTCTTTAGGTTCCGAATTGCTTCGAAGTAGCAGTAGGCGGCCGGCTCCCTTTGGGCATACGAGCATGCTCAACTCAGCTTTTGGCAAGGACCCAAGGACCCAAGAACCCAAACCCTCTAAAACAGACTTTTCGCTTCCCTTAGACCCTTGCCCCAAGCACTCGCTGCAACTGGCGGACCGACCTTCCGTGCCCGCTATGTAGGCCCGAGGAGGAAACACTAAAACCATAAAACCCAAAACCCTGCTAAGCCAGCTTTTCATTCCGCCCAGTACCCATTCCGGACCAGTTGCTTGAACTGGCCGACTCGCCTCCCCGCAGCATTGTGATTACTTTGTTCGATTGCTTCCCAAACAAATACATAGCTCCGTATCTGGATAGCTCCGTATCCGGAAAAAACAAGCAAGACCGTCACTCTTCTTTCAGTCCGGCCCCCCCGACCAGTCGCTTCAACTCGTCGATCCACCTCTCCGGAGCGTTGTGAGTACTCTGTTGATAGAGTCTGTCTCCCAGTTGTCTCCCTGACAGATGGTTAGCTCCGTATCTGGAAATGACTGATCACTCATTTTCCAGAGAACTAATCACTCTTCTTCCAGAAAGGCCCTCCGGCCACTCGGTTCACCTGGCGCACCGACCTGCCGCAGACACTGTGGCGGCCCGCGGACATCCAAAACACGAGAACCCTCGAAATTCAAAATAGTAAAATCTTGCTCATTCCTTTTTCCGTTACCCAGACCCATCCACCGGCCACTCGTTTCAACTGGCGGACCGACCTCCCGCGCACCCTTGGACGCCCGAAGAGGAAATCCTAAGCTTTGCAAACGTAAACCTCTGCTCAACCAATCTTTCGTTCCGTTAGACGCGCCATCCGGCCACTCGCTTCAACTGGCGCACCGACTTCCCGCACACGCTGTGGCGGCCCGAGGAAATCCGCTCGGAGGAGTTCTACCGGGACATCTTCGTGGAGTATCTGGGGACCCTGCTGTTTATCTTTTTCGCGCTCGGGGCGGTGGTCTTCACCGACTTCAAGTTCTCGGGCGCCGTCGGGAAGCTAGGCATCTCGTTCGCATTTGGGCTGTCGTAAGAGTCCCTTCGTGAAAGCGAGACTTTTGTTTTTGCACTTCGCCCAGCTTCTTCGCACTGTTTTTGTCTTACGAGGGAGCTGCGAGCCATAAAATAAATCTGTTCAAGATCGGAATTGAGGCGCCCTGAGACCTGTTTCAACTTCTACTGGAAGCTGGGCATCTCGTTCGCATTTGGGCTGACGTAAGAGGGTGTTTCTTGAATTCTGTTTCTTTTGCAAGTTGTTTCTTTGCGCTGCTACTGTATACAAGGGGAACGCAAGCAACAAGTTGAGATGCAATCATCGGGTGCCGTCGGGAAGCTCGGCATCTCGTTTGCGTTTGGGCTGACGTAAGACGATGTTTCCTGGGAAAAAGACTTTTTTTTTCCCTTTTGCACGTCGTCTCTTTGCACTGTTCCTGCCTTTCCAGGAATACAAGCAACAATAAAAGGATGTAAGGTTGATTGGGCGCAGTCGAGAAGCTGGGCATCTCGTTTGCATTTGGGCTGACGTAAGACTTTCTTCGTGAAAGCGAGACTACTACTTCGCACGTTGCTTCTTTGACGTTCCTATCCTACGAGGAACACGCAAGCGTACTGTGAAATAGTATTCGTTCAAAGTTCGCGCGTCCTGAACGGGCGCGTTGGGACAGCTGGGGAATGCGTTCGCGTTCGGATATTACTTAAGAGGACGTCCCCTGAGAAGGAGCTTTTGTTTCTCTTGCGCATTGTTGCTGCGTCGTCCTTCTTCTTCAGTGAGAGAAAAACAAGCAGCGTAGTTCATGCGCCTTCAGAGCTGTTTCGGATGCAATCTCGGGCACCTAAGGGTTAGCGCTGTAGAGGTTTGGTGGAGAAACTTCAACAGTTCTAGGCATCAAGATCTTTAAAGCTCCATGTCTGATGGAATGAGAAACCCTCTAAAGTTGAATTCAGTTCGCATTTGGTTAGACACAGACCTTCGTATATCCACAAATGCAGATTACGTGATGCAAACGTTTCGGCAAAAAACCGAAACTTCTACATCTAATTCGAGCCAAGATCTAGCATAGTTAATCTTGTTGCCACGTTCTGGTCCAAAACGGCCAGGTTCTTTAGCCTGTGACGTTGGAAGATATCCGAATGTCCCCTCACGTTGTACTAACTGCGATCCACGCTCCCTGTTTTTCCATTTGTGTCCTGGAAAAGAAAGGCAGATCAGATGTCAAGCTCTGACGCGTTCGAGTCCTTGTATCCGGAGGCCCAAAGCCGTTGAAATCGCGGGGCCTGTTTCTGATCCGTCAACTCCGCAGCAGCTTAGCGGTTGAAGTTCGAGCGCTTTCATTTCCGACGAGCACGGCAAATGGGTGATATGCGTCTCTGACTCGGAGCGAAAGCTGGAACATGGAAACGTCGGAATTCTAAAATCCTCAAAACCCTAGAAAACCAGGATCCGAAATCTCTGAACCCTTGAAACCCTGCAGGATCTTTGCGATCGTATACTCGAGCGCGGGGATCTCGGGCGGGCACATCAACCCGGCCGTCACGTTCGCCGGCAGGATCAGCGCCCTCAAGGGATCCCTCTACATCATCGCTCAGGTCAGCCACCCAGTGAGGAATGACGTCACTCGCAGACGTCACTTGCATCCTAGCTGCTCCGTCGTGTCGCAGTGGGATACGCCGGAACACCGATTGCGCTCTTGCATAAAACCGCGCCCGATGGCGAGCAACAATAAAAATACCTCTAATAGTGTGAACATATAATGTACTCAAGCTTTGGGAACCAAGTTCATCAATGCCCCATGGTTTTAAAGTGTTCCAAACCAGGTGTCCTTTCCGCCGATCCGACCTTTCCCCCGAAAGCGGTTCGATTCGTACTAAGAAAAAGAGGAGGAGGAGGAGAAGAGAAGAAAGAAAGAAAGAAAGAGCAGAAAGACAAAGGCCGAGTTGCCTTCTACAGATGGTCGGCTCGATCTGCGGTGCCGCTATCGTGCACGCCGTAAACAAGACGCTCTTCAGTCAGACGAACGGCGGGGCCAACTTCGTGCAGCCAGGATACGACAAAGGTGAGCGGCGGGAAACGGTCATATTCTTTAGTCTTGTTCTTGCTGCGCTTCGGTCTTTACTTTACTTTCGCTTTTTCAGCTCGTCGGTCTTTCAATCTGCTCTCGCTTTTGCTGCTCTGCAACTGGATTCAGTCTCACATTCCATGCCAATTGTCTGCAAAACAAAGTCGAACGCTCTCTGCGCGTCCCTGTAGATAATGGGCAGACCAGATAAAGAGCAAAACGGCCTAGAAGATTTTCAGTGTATCTCATGACGACGTTTGTTCGATTGCTCTTATTGATTTCTTCAAAACATTTTCGACAGGCGATGCCCTGGGCGTGGAGATCATTGGCACCTTCGTCCTCATTACCACCGTCTTCGCGGCGACCGACCCTGTGCGCTCCTGTCGCGAAGGGTCGCCCCACATCAGCGTAAGGAAACACTTTCCGACACAGCGTTGCGCGCAGCAGGATTTACGAAGAGGAGAATTGCCAGGATTGTATCGAAATATGATGTCTTCTTCTCAATCCTAGTCCTCGCACATTAGTTAGCGCTCAGGTTTGACCCGTGAGTACTTCTGGTCTGAGCGCGTTTCGGTAGACCTTCGTGTGCGCTCACAGTTGTGTGCCTTGCTTTTACATACCCCACCCAAAACAGACCAATCGAAGATATGAACCAAACATCCACGCGCTCCGCACCCAAACCCACCCTAACCCTGAAGCTTACCCATCTCTCGGGCGTCTGTTTCAGGGCACACTAAGCGTAGGGAACCCGAAATTAACAGAGGGTTTCGCTTTTTCGCAGGCGCTGGCGCCCTTCGCGATCGGCGTCGCGGTGTTCATCGTCCATTTGGCGATCATCCCGATCGACGGCACCAGCATTAACCCCGCGCGCAGCTTCGGGCCCGCGGTCATATACAACAAAGACTTTGTGTGGGACGACCAAGTAAGCCGCAAAAAGAATTCGTGAAAATATTTTGTATTTACATACTTGTAAAATCATCTTATGGTTAGAGTGAGTAGTTTGTCCGTTTATACTTCGTCCGTTGTTGGAGAGGTTGCTTGGAGTTTTGGACCTGGGGTCATCTACAAGAAGGACTTTGTGTGGGACGACCAAGTAAGCCGCAAGAGATTCTAGTACACGGTTCTTAACTGATGATACCGTACTCCTTTCTGTCCTTTATACTCTAGTCGTTGTGGGAAGACTCTGCTTGGAAGTTTGGACCTGCGGTCATGCACACAACGACTCTGTGTGGGACGAGTTGGACGACCAAGTAAGCAGCAAGAAAAGTTCGTAAGAATACACCCTTTTTATCTGATGGTGACGTTCTCCTTTCTGTTGGTTATACTTTCGTGTTCGTTCTACGGAAGACTGCTTGGAGCTTTGAACCTGCGGTCATCTACAACGGATGATTTCTGTGTAGTAACGACAAGGCAAGGGAGCGAGATCAGTTCTGTGATTCCTTCTGATCATTATTATGTAGTATAGTCTTTAAAGTCGGACTCGATATGCTGTCCGTAAAACCTTCGTCCGTTGTTGGAGAGACTGCTTGGAGTTTTGAACTCGCTATCGTCTACAAGAAAGACTTTGTGTGGGACGACCAGGCAAGGCAGTTCGTGTTTGGGAAGCTTGGCATTCACAAAGGTTGTCAATGCTGTGCTTCTCGAGCATTTCTTTGTGGCCTCTTGAATGTTCTGCAAAAAGAAAGACTTTCTGTCGATTCACATCATAAGGTGGTCTTTGAACATCACAAGGTGGTCTTAGTCGCAGAGAGAAGCCGACAACGGTAGACTCCTGACGCTACTTGTGTCAACAGAATGCTTCGAGTCCTCGCTTTACTTCCTCTCTCAGGGTTTGATTACCGACCCCTCGCAATTCTCGAAACAACTCACGCCCGGTTCTCGAGACCGTCTGACATTTCCGTGGTCAGTGTACCGATTATACGCACATCTTCCATCGAATTTTCAGTTGTGGGCTTAGATATGTAACTTCGAAGATTGTTACGACGTCGGTGAGCCGGCTGAACACGTGTCAGGTGATCAGCGCTTCTGGCGAAGCCCGCGCCTCCAGCCAGAAGAGCAAGGGTAGAGCTTTGCAAAGGGCGCAAGCTTCCAACTTTAATCACGACAACCAGCGATTCTTCTGATGCTTTGTCTCCCCTCTCTCCCCTTTGCGCAGTGGATATTTTGGGTGGGCCCAGGAATCGGAGCCCTCGTTGCAGTGTTCGTGTACGAGTGGTTCATTCGTGGGGCGGACTTCCGGTCCATGCAGCGGAAGCATCAGTAAGCGGAGCGGAACGGAACGGGGCGTAAATTCTGATAAACAGAGCGGAGCGCAGTACTATGGGGTTAATAAGAGGAGCTTAGATTGCTGAAGGCTTAACTTCAGTGTGAGAGTGCAACGAGTACAGACGTTCGGCTTTTGGTTTTTATCATAGGAATGCCGTACTAAGAACAAAGTTCGGACATTAGCTTTGAGGGGACTCAAGTCAACATAGTCCTGGAGACTTAGTGGGTAGCTGGAATGATGATTGCTGGATTTTCAGTTCTACGAGATGTTTCAACTGCGCCGGTCAGCTTGAACACTGTAGGAAACCAATTGAGCATCACCGTTCCATTCAAACAAATGGAGGCGATTGATGGCCTTCAGGAAACTCGATGCCGGGTTGGTTTTAGGGTCAGTTCAAAACGCGTCTGTGCATTGTGACTTTGTCCGACGACATGATGCATTACGGACAATCGTGAATTTGTGGCTAAATCATGTAAAGTAATCCAAGCCCCTGCGAAGTTGGTAGACTATAGCCCATAACATAAAATCGTTAAAGCTTGAAGAAAGGAAGCCCTAAGATGCAGTGCGCATGCAGAAAGAGACGGTATAAAATGATACATAGAAGCCAGCATGCAGCCCAGATGGTCATTCGTTCCTAAAGCGCGCGCGCATGATGGCCTGCATCGCTGAACACTGCAACGATGGAGCGAATTTCATGGTAACAAGAGAACCGTTCGATGGGCGGCAATCGGAAACCTAGTTTGATACCCCACCTACTTGATTCATTGCGCGTGCCCTAATTATCAATCGTGTGGCCCCAATACAGAGAGGAGCTCTTATATTCCTCTTTGTCCTTGTATCTTTCTCCTTGTCTCTTTCCTGAGCATCCTCTATTTCCTGCCGATGCTTTTCGAGTGGCACTTCTATCAAGATATGTGGGCCCGGCTCGAAAGCTTGCAACTGATTCGACGTTTCGCTGCTCGCTGATCCATCTTCTGAGCAACGGACTACTTTCTAGCGAAGACACAGGATTGGTCACGCCTTTGGGGGACTATTGATGCGCAGAGGGTGACAGGGCGGCGGGAGGCATCTCGCCAAGTCGATGGGACTCTCCACCTGCGCGTATCAAGATTCGAAGAATGGTTTTTCCTCTCCCTTCAAATCAGCATGTGAATCCAAACGTGGATATTGAATTCTACCGAGCTTTGCAGTTTTGTGGGCAAAAGACTACCACTGTCTTGGGACACTTTTGGAAACGAATACGCTTTTTGGGTTTGAGATTAAAAGCCCCTATATCCAGCTTGCTCGAGTGGGCCACGTATAGAATCAGCCTGAATTCTAGAAGATTTTTAGAAGCTGTGCATCTCCATTTTCCATCAGATAACAGAATCAGGAACGCTTTCTCTAGCTTTGAGTTCGACCACAGGGGCTCCGGCCAAACGAAGGCTTCACTTATATCAATAAAATCAAATGCCCGTAAACCCCAGAAACTTTGCAACCAGGATTCAACGTTCACCGGCAGCAGCTCGAGGTCGCATTCTCGAGCGCGGCCGCCCCCTAGATGCGCGCGCATGCTGAAAACGCGTGCGCTAAAACCCAAAACTTAAACCCTTACAGCAGCAGTTGTCGGACTACATTATCCAGCGCGGCCGCCTCTGCAGTGAGCGCGCGCATGCTCAAAACGAGCGCGCAGAATCTTCAGGTTCTTGAAGACGTGGAACTTGAGCTCCCGGACCGCGTCCTCGAGCGCGGCCGCCTCCGCGTTGAGCGCGCGCATGCCAAAGAAGATAATACAAAACCCTGAAACCCCGCACCTTACCTGTAGTAGCTCCCGGACCGCGTCTTCGAGAGCGGCCGCCTCCGCGATGAGCGCGCGCATGCCAAAAACCAGCGCATTGAACGACAGCATCGCGCCGTTGTCCACGATTGCCACGTCGGGGTGCGCGAGCTTCGCCGAAATGAGGCCCGAGATTACATCCTCGTACCTAAAATAAGGTCGTCTGAGTCAGTTGTGTTCTTTGAGAAATGAAAGAGGAGTACACGATAGGTGGGGCGTTGGGAGTTAAGAATCTGGGCCCTCAAGGGACGAGACCTAACGCAGCGGCCTTGTAGCGAAAAGGTCTGTTCAAATCAACTATTTTATCTTGTATGCTCTAACGGAATCCATTGCTTTCAAGAAGGTGGTGTAATGTCGAAGGCATACCACTTATGAGATGTAGCTCTCGCATGGGAAGGCCGAGAGCTGTTTTGATTGAAGTCATTCTGGACGGCTTTTCAAATTGATTCCAGATCAGGCCCGACCTCTTCGGACAAATAATGTCCTGAATTCAGCATTTGATGAATCAAATTTTGCATTGTTCAAATGACCCGGTTAAATCTGTAAGTCCGAAGCTTCTACGTTTTTGGAGCTGATGCAAGTCGAAGCGTTAATCTGGCACACAACTGGCCTACACAGGACGTTTTAGCTGCTAACCATGCTGATTACCAGACCAAGTCTCGGGTTATCGGCCATATAATCGGACCTGGACCTCGTTCCAAGGCTGGTCCTTGCCCACTCTGGTTATTGAACAGTCAACCAGTTTTAAAGCAGCCCATAGCCAGCCCATAACCATCCCTGGTTAAGGGCCAAAAATCCCTGTGAGCGAAGATCGCTGTTGGGCCTCACCGGTGCTCGAATTCCTTCAACACCTTTTGGATGCTCCCGCTCCCCCGGGGGCTGACGTCACCGCCCATCGATGGAAGGGAATGCTGGAAGATCTGCTCATCCAACGGCGCGGGTTCTTCTTTCTTCGTTCCGTTCCGCCGGCCAGAAGTGTGATGCTTCCGGTGGCCCTCACTTTTGGGCGACTGGCTTTCCGCCGTTCCGTGCTCCGGTGCACCGGAAAGGAGATCCGTTGGAACGGAAGCGGTCCCTCGATCTGTCCAGTTCCTGGCCGCGAGCTCTGTCAAAGCGGACGCACCTCTACTGTTTTGTCCGGTCGGCTTAACCGGGGGTAAACATTTTGGATCTTGCTGCGCGTTCTTGTTTTGCTCTTGTTTTTCTCTCGTCTCAAGATTTCCGCTGCAAAGTCCGGCACTCTGTCGGACGCCGTTCTGGTCTTCCGCAACTCTGCTCCGGGCGTCCGCAGCTCCTTTCCGGTCACTTGAGATTTCGCCTACATGCTTAGACGCCGGAACCAACTCCATACTTTTTGCTTCCGGACTAGGTGAAGACTTCTTCGCTGGTTTCTTTTCGTTGGTATGTATTTGTAGGGCGACGATGAGCCCGTCCAAAGTCAGGAGGACTTCCGCTTCGAGCGTGCGCAGCGGACCTCTGCATAAGCGGAGCGGAACGGATCAAAGTGGGCGCTAGCTTGAATGAGACAAGAAATCGGATGACAGACAGCTGACTTCCGCCACCAATCCAACATATTTTGAACTGTATTGAGCTCAACCAAAGCAAAGATCAAGATGAAGGTGAAAAGGACCACGCCACAGCGGGAGACCATGCGGAGGAAACACGGAAGCCCTACGAAATTGCAAACGAGGTTGGTTGGGCACCAGGCAGGTTCTCAGAAGGAATCGTAAAAGAATGGGCTTGGGGCTTTTAGTTTTGAGGAGGAAGAGGAGCTCCTCTGGAACGGCCGAAAGATTCACAGTTTCCTTTTTACATCAAAAGTATGTAGTCGCCAGGGTAATCTCAATCCAACGCATCGTTAGATTCAACAGTCAGAGACGCCCGGCGCTATCGATTTATCCACACCCGCAGCCTCATGGTTTGAGCGTGCAATCTTACGAGTATCTTCGTAAGCGTCTGCGTGTAAAACGGTCGAGATTTCAAAAAAATCAGGAAGGAATTTGAGACAGACGAAAGAACGACAAGCGGGGGGAAAAAAGGAGTGGGAATGCCACGTACTGGAGCGGCCGCGCCAGCTTCTCATAGTGCTCTCCCGACGCGTCCTTGGTCGTGGCTTGCAACGAACAGTCCATAGCGTACTGTTCAAGACACAAGAGCGGATGTAAGTGCGCGCGCGTTAGGCTCCAGTTACAATGAAGCGGGAGGGACCGGAGCTGGGTTACATATATGTTAGGCTTAGAGATGGGTGCATAAGATCACGCTACCGCAGTTTAAGACATCTTACAGCTGGCATGATATGATTGTCGGGGCCACCAGACAGTGCGTGGCTTGAGCCGGTCAAGTTGTTGCTGGCGATAAAAAGAGGCGCAGAAAAAAGGCGAAGGAACTTTCCGCACAACATCTTTGAAAATAGTTTTAATATGGACCTTTTAGAGGTGCTGCTTCAAGAAGTTTGACCATCTTTGTAATGTGGGCTTTTGTAGAAGCGATATTTTGGCTGGAAGTCGTAATTACCCGCAACAGGCGACCCGCTTTGCAATCATTTCCACCAATCGAATAGACCCCTGTCCTAGACAGCTTTCCGGTCATTTAAATCCAAGTTGAGCATATAAAAGAAGGTTTCTCCAGGGACCCTGAGGGGTGGTTTGTGAGAAAGTCTTACAGAAGGCAACATAACCCGTTTTCGAAGTTCCACCAGTCGGACATACCCCTGGCCCACAAAGAGCTTCTGGTTCGTCACGTTCAGCATTTGCATTTGAGCATGTAAAAAGGAAAAGTTTCCTGTAAATCTGAAGGGTGAATTTTGAGAAATTCTTACCAGAAGCAACATAACCCGCTTTTGCAGTTCCACCAGTCGGATGTACCCCTGACCCACAAAGGGCGCCCGCCACAGGTCGGGCTCCGCCGCGGCCTCGTCGATGAGCGGGCCCTGTTTCGCGATCAGCGCGCCGCAGCGCTGCTCGGTAGACGCCACCCGGGCAATCGCGCGCTGCCGACACCTGCCCGGGAGAAAGCACCCGGCTAAGAAATATAGAGGTAAAAGGAAAAGCTTCTCGAGGGATTCCTGGGCCAAGTGAGACATAGCCGAGGTGGGTGCCCGGCGCAAGCCTCAAGGGGATGTGTCATCTGCCCGGGACAAGGCCCGGGGCTTACGTCGCAGGCATTGTGGGGAGTAGAGCACCCAGCCCAAGGCCTTCCGTGAACAGGAACAAGCTTGTTGAGACGAGGTCCCAGGTATAGTACTGGGTGCTTGGGATACTGTCCCGGGGCTTAGAGACACAGAAGCATGTTATGAAACTGGTCGGGAGATGGTCTCAGGAAGCGGAGCCCGGCGCCCAGTCAGGTCTTCAAGCTCTTCGCTCGCTTTCACGATCTCCAGTTCCACCGATTCGCGGGGTTCCTCAATTTGTGTTTGACAGGGTTGGTCTCTCGTCTCGAATACGCCGACTTAGACTCTATACCTGCCTTGCATCCGCGTTCCTCTTCAGCTTGTTCCCTTTTTCCGTTGCTCTTGATGAAGGTCCAGCACCTGTTTACAAGGATTCTCTTGAAAATACCAAAACAATAAAACCAGAAAAAGAGCAAGCTACTCACTGCACGCACTCGTCCTCCATGTACGACTGCACCACGGCCGCGAAACACGCGCGCGCGTCCTGGAGCGACGCGACGAGCGCGCCGCGCAGCAACGCGGCCGCGCGGCTGGGCCACAGGCAGGTCTCGACAACTAGGTACGCGAGGATGCCAATCCACGTCTGATGAAAGACAAGACCCTGACGTCAGGAATGACGTCAAGCGAGCAGCGTCGCGCAGTGACGCGGCCGCGCGGCTGGGCCACAAGTAGGTTTCAACAACTAGGTACGCGAGGATTCCAGTCCACATCCGGGAGACAGGTGGGTACGACGTCAGCGGGAGAGGATCCGGCAAGTTCGGTTCAAGCATCTGTAGTCGGTTCCTCGACATTTTAATGAATAGTTGGCCTTGAGAGCTTGACTCGCGTCGCTCCTCTTTGTCTTTAAGCAACTGACATTCACTGACTTCAACATTGCGGGAGGGGCTTCATCTCCTTTCTTACCTGCCCTCGTCTAGAACTGGTGGCGGTTTCAATATTGCGCGAGCTCTCTGAAATCCAGGAATACCAGACAGAATGTAAGAGGACCTCGGGGCTCTTAGGCTGCGCAGCTGGCATTCGACTTTTTTGGCGCTTTCAAAACTTGGAGACGGACTCCTCCATTCCAAAAAAAAGGTTCTTTAGGAGAAAACCTAGTAAAAAACGGTTTCAGATTTGAGTGTGTGATAGATTTACCTGTGTGATCCGCCCGAGTGCGTATTCCTTGATCCCCTCGTGGGCCGCCCGGTAGCCAAGCATTATGATGGCCGCCGTAAAAGCCGCCACGACGCTGCAGTAACCGTACGTCTTGCTGCACGGAACGCGCGAAACCCCGGGTTAGAGGAGCTCTTGTTTGGACAACGATCAAGGCTTAACCAACACAGCAAACTTCTTCAGGAAAACTTCGGATTAGCGGTGGGTGAAGGCGTAAAGATGCAACGTACGACAGCCGAACATCATCGTTTTGCAGGCATGCACCTTCCTTGATGACGTAAGATTTTCGTTGCTGTGATGAATCAGCTTGGGAAATTCTGCAGATGGTGCTACTCATCTCAATCATTACATCGTCCTCTGATCGGATCTAGACCGAAGAGATTATCGGCTCGAATTATCCAACAAGAGGGAAGCTGGGGGCTTGGTTCTTTCGTTCGCCTTGTCATTCACCTGACAGCATTTTACATGAGGCAATATGTGCGTGAAATTTCCTGGCGCAAAGATTCAATTAGGCCCCGCTAATTTTGATCCATCAAAGCGCGAAAAAAATCACATATGAGAGTATTTTGTAAAAGTTTTACCTACCTGTATCTCGCAAAAGTGGCGAAGGCGACCCACAGAACCAGCAGCGCGCCGATCGCGACCGGCCGTTCGTGCACCAAGAGGATCGAAATATATCCGTACATGGACCCCGCCACAGTGCCCTGCACACACGTCAGCGAAAAAGCTTTTCCCCTGATGCTTCCGGAACTTCCAGGGAAGATGCTGACGTCATAGTCAACCCTTTTAACCTGGCGAGAGAGTGACCAATTGGGCGGATCTTCGGCAATCGCTCGCTCTCGTGCCGAAGTGCAAATGCTTAAAGAGACGAAGAGATAAAAGATTTTGCTGACTTCATACGTCGAGGCAAGACGGGTGTAGGAATGTGGGAGAAACGCGTTTCGACGGCTCACAGATACTCAATGTCTGGAGGATCGCAACTGCTGACGTAACCACAAAGTATAAGAAAGACTACAGTGCGACGCGGGCGCCCAAGAAGTGCCCGTCTCCATTGGGATGGCAAGTAACCAGGAGATTTGCAACCGTGAACAACTTCCGCAAGTTATGACTTCATCACTGACCGAGCACGGTCAGTGCGGAAGGTGCCTTTCTGGGAGCGCGTTCCAACGGCAAGCTTTGCTACAAATCGAGAAACCAGAAGCACTCTGGAACATGACGTCTTTGTGCAAAAGCTGACGTCAGCACTGACCAGGAAGCGGTTGAGCGCGGTGCGGAAGGTGGCGCCCTGGTAGCCGCCGAAGAGGACGCCCACGGTGGCCGTCGCCAGAAAGGGGAACACACGGTCCGTCGCGATTCCGATAACGCCCGTACAGCTGATTGCAATCGCTACGCGGATGCTTCTCTGCAACGGAGGAAGAATGGAGATGTTACTTAAGGCGCTAACCGGTAAGTTAAGGAAACCTAAGTGGTTTCACAAGGCGGAATCCCGAAAAGACGCGGTCGGTCGCAATGCCGATCACGCCCGTATAGCTGATCGCGATCGCCACGCGGACGCTTCTCTGCAACAAAGAAGAGTGCGAGTGCTACTCGAGGCGTTAACGGGTTCGTTAAAAAACCTAACATTGGTTGAAAAGGCGGATGCTGAAACAGGAAGTTGGGATTTTGCCCGAAGAACCTTCTTCAACGAATTGTTGGCCATACCAGCGTGCTGGTCGCGATGGCCGCGAGAGAATATCAACCGAGAAGGGAATGGTTTCTGATGAGTCGCCGAGGCAGGCCAAAAGATGGGAATGCTGTAGTGCTAGTGCACTGATGGAGTCAACAGTGTCTCAGGACTCTCACAAAAGAAAGGCATGCATCAGCTTCGGGCGATGATGTGACCCTTCGAGCAACGCCGCGAATTAAGAAGAGTCTTTCAAATGCCTACGTGAGATGTAAAGAAACGGTAACGGGAACTGCAATACTAAATGCTTATGAACGAGTCGTATCCTGACGCGTGGCACGTGCCTTCACTTTGTTGCCGTCTAGCCGCACGCGCGTCGCGGCCGCGAGCGCGTCCGCCCACCTCCCCATCCTCTCCGTCGCATTCCCCGGTTTTGCCGCCGCCCTAGTTTCGTGCGATCCGCTGCTGTCCGTAACTCGCCTCTTGCGGCCCCTTAACGGAACGGAATCCGCGTCATTCTCAGAGTGAGAGCGCCGCGCGGCCGCGGACGCGCACTCGGGGTTTTGGCAGGGTTTTGGTGGCGGGTTTGGCATGACGGACTGGAGGAGGGACCGGCGCCGGGAGGGCAGGCCGGGGCGAGTCACGGGGGGATCCCCCGACAGCAAAGAGAAGGCTTCCTGGGCGATGTGCCGCGTGTGGAACAGGAAGAACTGGGAGGCGATCAGGCTGCAAGCGGAAGCGGAATTGGATCAGCAATCAAAAGACCTGCCTCATAGAAATCTGATTTTTAACGAAACCGTGATAATCAGAAAGGTTCAAGATGTTGAAGGGATTGACAGTTACGAAGAAGAGGGATGCAAGCAGGCGGGAAGGAACAAAAGGCTGGAGGAAGATGGAGCAAACCGGAGGGCAGACGGTTGAAAGTAAGATTCAGACTTTGGATGAAATCGAGCCTTGATCAATTGGGCAATTACGACACCGCATACTGTATTTGCCGGTGATTTGATGTCGCCTTGCAGACTCGTATGATTCGTGAAGCGGGTTAGAGTGAACTTAATCCTTAAGTTCAAAGGAATCCTTTATAATTGTTGTGAAGCAAACACTAAGAGTCTTCTTCGCTGTATTTTGTAAGGACATAAACTTTATACCGGGCAAACTCTGCAAACTCTGCCCGTTACCAAAGAAGCCTTTGTGCTCCCTTAACGTTCCCACCTCTCAACAGAGCACCGCAGCAGCGTCTCCACCCGGCTCCGCCTCCGCTCTCTCGTTCCGCCTGCGGAACCGCCCCCATCCGCTTCCGTTGCCTTTCTAGTTTCTTCATGGCCCAAGTCCGCGAGCGCCGTCAGCCCGTAGTACGCCTGCTCGCGCGCGGTTTGGAGAGCCGCGTTGAACCGCTTCAGGAGGTCCGTACCGTAGACCGCCAGGCGCTCGGTCTCTTCCACGCTGCCTGCAGAAGAGCCGATAAGTTTTGTGGTCTTGGAGAATCATGTTCCCAGATTCGAGGAATTGGATGTTGCAGAGTCGGGCGTGTGTGTAGCGAACGATACTGAACGTGCAAGTCAGCAACAATCACAGAGGTTGACATCTTCGCAAAAGACGGACCTGCGTGACGCTCGATTTGGACGGAGGCATCCAAATCGAAGTCGCATCTAGAACACAACACTCAAACCTCTGAATTCAGCGTCAGTCACAAGAGCAATCTACAACGGAGAAGGAAGAAAACCGAAACAGGAGAAAACCCAATTGTACGCGGTATTGAGCAAGATAGATTTCCATGCAAAAGGATATGAAAAGAATGAAGCCGCGCAACTTTTTACAGAGAAAAGGATCTCACCTTTGCGGCCCCGGAGGTCGTTGACCGCCGCCTGGATCACGGCCCCGGTCCAGCTGGCCATCTCGGCGAGGGGGTCTCTCAACAGCTGGAAAAGCAGGGGGGGGGACTCGGCGATGTGGCCCGTTTGCAGTGCCAGGTCGAGCGACGCTGAGTGCATAAGCAGCGCGTCGAAGACCTGCGCATACGAGATGCTTCTCCATGAGGTTTTGAACCGTTTAGACGGCTGGGTGAGGCAATAATCAACTCCATTCCAGTAGCGAAGCAAGATTGTGTGGGTATCCTCAAAAGTCCTTGAGAGAAAGCCTGCGGGAAGGTTTAACTTGCATCGCAACCGTTGAAGACCGATGCTGGTTAAGAGGACGCCTGAGTCGGCGGTCTCACGCAAGTGCCCTCCGGGCTTCAGAAACTCATACGACAATGCTTTCTAGATATTCTCTCTCTCGAGATTAGGGACGAACCGCTCACCTTGATCAGGCGCTTCAGCTTGGCGGTCGGCTTGCCTCCCGCAAACTCCCACCACAGCTCTTCTTCCCTTTCCTTCATGCTCGCCAAGTTTTCGGCGACCGCGCGCCGCAGCATCCCCGCGAGCGTGCGCGCCTCCGCGCGGCCGCGCGCGTCCGACTCGCCGCAGAACGCGCCGAGCTGCGTAGCGAAAAGCGCGGCCGCGGCCGCGGCCGCGCGCTCCGCGCGGTCCTTCACCAGATTCGTCGCCCACAGGGGCACCGGCAGAAGCATGGCGACTACCGCGCACTGCGTCCCGAGCAGCGCGGTCGCCCCGAAACGGAGGGGAAAGGTTATGGAGATGTCTTTGTATACGTAGAAGCCGATGAAGCAGATGCCCGTGTAAGCGAGGCCGAACTTGCGGCGTATGACGTGGATGTCGGGATACGCTATGAGCGCGCACGTGGCGGTCATGCAGAGGATCATGGCGGGCTCCGAGCGGCCGAATAGCTCGACGCAGATGATGCTCGAGAGTGATGAAACGGCGACCTGGGGCGAGAGACACCGAAGAGCGATTAGTGTAAGAGATGGTGAATGTAAGAGACGGCTCGAAGGCTTTCAGGACGTCTTTTGGCATCAGAGAGTAGTTTAAGACTGCCTCCCGGTGAAGATCTGAAAAATGGTTTATTGTTGATTGGAGAATGCTGCTGGCACTATATATTCATCAGGTTCTGGTTCATCAGACGCAGAAGAAGAGAAGAGGCGAGAGCAAGGGTGCGCACAGGAACTTCGGTTCCCCAATTCAAGCACGTCATTGTGACTCGTAAGCAGAGCGCCGCTTCACTCCTCCATCAGAATTTCGAGACACGAACCCCGGCCGCGCTGGAAAATTGGACCTCCCTTTGGAATACCTCACCGCGAAAAAGACCATCGAGCAGTTGCGCAGCGTTCGCCCGAGGCTCGAGTCGCAGACTATGATCGCGGTAATGCTCGCAAAGAAGGCGATCGTCAGGTTTCGCGCAATCTCGTCCGTCAGTAGGAGCACGGACGCCAGGAGCGCCGCGACGGCAGTGCGCAGTCCGCTGCGGACGCGACGGAAGAACACCTGGACGGAACATGGCGGAATTGACCTTGGAAGCTTTGGACGTATGTAAAAGGTATGACAGGTTTCGACAGATCTTTTTTCGTGACGCGTCTTGCTTGCGAGGGGCGCTGCGACGGCGGAGGCAGTCCGCTGCGGACGCGACGGAAGAACACTTGGACGGAACGGAACGGAAGAAGTCAACTCTCAGGCGAAAATTGAAGATCTTTGGAAGAATGTTGAGGGTGTTAAAGTTCTGGACGGGATCTGACCGAAGAATTGTAATAATGCGTCTTGGATGAGTGGAGCGCCGCGGCAACGGTACGAAGTGCGCTGAGCATGCGGCGGAAAAGCACCTGAACGGAACGGTTGTAAACATCTAGGTGACTCTGAAAAGCTTGAAATGGGTGTTTGACGGTTTTGGGAAAGCTCCGCACGCATCTTAGCTGCGAGGAGCGCCTTACGGCGGGGCGCATAGTCGGCTACGCAACGCAGCGGAAACATACCTGGACGGAACCATCGTTGACTACCGGGTAATATGCCAACCTTTCGGACTGGTCGTTTGGATACGTCATGGCTGCGAGAAGCGTCGCGACGGCGGTGTGCAGTCCGCTGCAGAAGAACACCTCGGCGAGGGTACAGTCAAGCTTCGGACGCTGTTTATGCTTAGGACGGGTGTGACGATTTTGCAGGCGGCATATGCATCCTTTTCACTGTCCACTCATACTTCCAGACCCCTTTCTACGATCTTACGTTCAGAAGACACCCACGAAGTTGGGAATAAGAACCTACCTGGCGGTGGGCGTTCGTTCCCGAAGCCATCTCCCTCAGCTCTGCAAAACGTTCCACGTTCTCCAGATCAGACTGGGGTTGCTGGGCGGCTTCAGTGCTTGTAGCGCAGACGTATCATGTGCGACAGACGTCCGATATACTTTGAGCTCGTGTCTGTTCCATCATTGGTACTGCATGAAAAGTTGTCCAGTTTTGATAGTGGCGTTGAGGTCTGAGGTCCCAAAAGAGCGCCGCAAAACGAGTGATTATGCAGACAGGGCGTGGTGATGTGAAATGGTTGATTCGTATCTTGTGGTTCTCAGAGGAGTCGACCAAGGATGTGCCAAGGGGCAAGCAGTGCTGAATGCAGTAAGAGCTCGTACTTTGGTCAGAGATAAATGGACGTGCTCAATGTCGTCACGGAAACAGTGGATCAGGTTACTTGATGGTCAGTGGTAATCCAAAGAAACTCAGATTCAAGCTCCGTTTAAGGAGGTTAAGCAGAAACAACAGCGGGTTTCTTACGTTACAAGATCCGCCACCTGTTTACGACAACTCTGAAGCACTTTGCTGGACGTTCTCATCAGAATAAGCAGCGAATTGTGATTGAAGCGTGCACAGCTGGCACTCCAAATGAGAAACATCGGTGGCAAACACTCACTACCACTGCTAGAAAGAGAAAAAGAAGGTCTTCTTCGACTTCCAAACTGGAGCTCACAGGTCTGCAAAACCCGATGAAAAAGTTCTTTCCTGGACCCTGGATGATTGGTGGGGTGATCTCTGCTAAAGCAAGAAAGCAAATGACCTGCCTTCACTCCCTTGACTATCATTATAGTGCGTTTGATTTATCTAATCAAATTGCTCACCCATAAGCTCGATCACTTTCTAAAGTAGAACCTCTAGTACATGCCCCCAGCCCTACTGTAGGGCCTCTTGCTTAGCGCATACCTGTGAATGCGATGGGCTGCTTTGCCGAATACAATAAGCATACATTTCTGGCCCTGCATCTCTCCTCAGATTTCAGCATCTGTTTCTTTTGCCATTGTAAACTTACTGCAAATTCGCAGGAAGCTTTCCCGAGCGCTGTCTAATCAGTGGTCCCCAAACCCCCTTCTCACCCTTCTGTAATACCAATGAATTGGAGGAGGGGTTTCTGATCACTCGGAATATGGCCAGTCCAACTGTGTAAGAAGGCAAGAAGCCTTCTGGTGCTAGTAGTACTAGTAGTGGTGAACATGGGCGCTGGCTGCTGTGATAAGAAGTTTCTGAGAAACTTGAAGTCATTCCGAAAAGTGCCACGTGATGCGGATCTTCTTGCTATTATTGGGCGACTCTCTTTGTCACGTGCCAATCAGAATTGCGCTGGTTCTGCATTTTACGACAAGTGTCCACATGTCAGACTCTGTCAGGGAAAGCGACAACTTTACCTGGTCGACACCTGGCGTGAATCTCACACATCATGATACAGGCCCATGAGCGATATTAGGTAGCTAGGTATTGCGGCTTGCAACCGTTGAATGAAACCGTTCACCGCGCGCGCAGGCGGCAAGTGACGAAACTAGTCAAAACCTCGCTCGGCCTCTGCAGATTGACCAATCGCCAGATCCATTCCCATGCGCACGCCGCGGCCGGGATTGCGCAACCATTACCATCTGTATTAAAAGTTCGCATTCAAACGTCCTATCGCAAATTTCCCTAGCAGACTTGTGTAAGCAAGTAGGTAGCCGCCCTGCATTGTGCTACGGGCGGGCACCTGGGCGGGCATGGCCATGCCGCCATGCCCCAGCATAAAAGCCCTGGCGTCAGCCTTGAAAAAGGAGATTGGTCGACTTGCCAGAGGTTGTGCTCTGCAGAATGCCGATTGTAGTCACCAAGCATGTGGGCAGCTGGTGGAAATTCTGTCGGTGGAGCGACGAGTGGGCTGTGAAGGATGCCGCGTAAAGAGATCACATTCAGAGGTCCATCCCACAGCATTGCCTGTCCTGGCAGCTACTCAAGCAATTGGTTCCACTGTCACAGTGCTCGCATTGGTAAACCCATTTATAGAACCAACACAGAAAGAGAACTTTCTGGGTCCTAATCCAGCTGTCGCTTGCTCAATGCCAGCTCACGTTGCAAGCAGGAAATTTCAACCAGCTGCTAGCGGAGGCCGTTTGCTCCCTTCTCTCACACCACTTTATGCCCACTTTTCTGGCAAACGGACAGCTGCCACCTGGGTGAAAGGGCCGCCCCCACCTGTCAGCATCGCAGACTGGCGGGCAGAAATGGACGCTCAGGAGCCAATGCGATCAACGCTCAAGTATTTGGAGAAGTTCACTAACTATGAGCGCAAGGGCGTGCCGAAAGGAGCGGGGACCAATTCTGACGAGGGCTTTCCCCTGCGCCGGATGGAGCTTCTGATGCAGCGGCTGGGAGACCCGGTGTCACGACTCAAGGCAAGTGAGCGGGCAAGATCGGTCCAGCTGATTACAAACGATTGAAGCAGGTTTAAGGGATGAGGATTATGTAGGGTGCAATGCATTGGCCCACTCAGAAGAGCTCTCAGCTCTTTAACAGGGGCTGATTTTTCTTCTGACACTCGATTCATAGTTTCAGACCCTAACATGAAAAAGTCTTGATTGTCTCGTCGGAGAAGCTTGGTCAAAGAAGCTTGCAGTTAAACCGATGATGATACATTCATTTGAGGGAGCTTCCAGTCTGAAAAGCTTTTCCTTGGCTGGTTGTCTCTGGTTCCAGTTCCTCTTGAACTTTGGAATGCTCGATAAATGCCTATGGGTGGAGCATGTGGCTTCCGTGACTACTCTGTCCACAAACGCCGAGCTGGAAGGTGTCCGTCTGTGATTGTAGAAGTTGTCACAGGGGTTCTCAGGTTGGATGAAAGTCTTTGGTTTTGTTGCAGGTGGTGCATGTTGCGGGCACCAAAGGAAAAGGCTCCGTCGCTGCCCTTTTGGGCTCAAGCCTCCGGAGGGCGCAGCTGAGAGTCGGTACTTACACCAGGTGACTACTTCTCAGCTTCACTGCTTTGCCTAAAGTTGTGGGCCCTCTTTGGTCCGTCAGACATGAATTTCACCACTCTCGCTCTTGACGATAGACTGCCCCTTCTGGGAGTCTGTTACACAGGGGTGCGAAAACGAGGAACCAGAGTTGGACGTTTTCGTCGCAGAAACATGCTTCTTGGTACTAAACTTGCCGCCAAGAAGTGTATGTCGAGGTAGAAAATGGATTGAAAGTGATAAGCAGTTTGTAGGGAAAGCCAAATGCGCAGAGGGCCTGACGTCGGCTACTCCCATGTTAGAAAGATGAAATTGTACTCCCATCTTGGGAAACATGACAGAGTTTTCTCATTGTGCAGTCCGCACTTCCTGACTGTGAGAGAGCGCATCACGATCGACGGCGTGCCGATCTCACCGGAAGCGTTCGCAGCCCTCGTTGCAGCACACCGATCGGTCCTTGATGAGATGCGCGACTTGGAGGGGGTGACGCATTTCGAGGTAACTAGTGCTTACCGCCAATACTGAGTCCACTTAGTTTTTGCCACCAAAGCAGCAGAATTGCACGCAGTCCTGCTTATGAATGTTGCGACTTTAAACGATTGGCAGTCATGAACAACCCAGTCCCTTGTACATCGATTCCAATCTTCGGTTCAGCCCAATGCTTCGCTCACCCTTCGGAAATTTGAAAAACGGGCAGGTAGCTCGCTTGCCTGAAGCATGTTCTTGCAGCTGATTTTGCTAGCTGTCAGCATCTGCTCACAGTTTTCAGCCCGACCTCACTGTGACGTGAGCTGACCCTCCGCTTCGACCTGTCAGGTGCTCACGGCTCTGGCGTTCAAGCACTTCGAAGAGGAGGGAGTAGACATTGCAATCATGGAGGTACGTTTTACATTCTGTTGTCAGAATTCCGGAATTTGTGTGCGGAGAATCAAGAGAAGAGCCCAGACTTTCTTCAGATTACTATTGCCTTTTGGGATGTCAATTTTCGTGGCTGTCTTCCAAAGCTTTTCGAGCGGTATTATCATCTCCCATCGCCCCCAGGAGAAGTCCACACGGCTGGGTTTCGGCCGCAGATATCATGGATGCGATCAAGTGGGGCAATTAACAAACGGCTGTTCAGAGCCAATCAGAAGCGCCCACCGCTAAAGCAGCCGATCGCAGTCCTCTGCAGAGTCCACTTCTTCCCAGGGCATCCTCGGGTCTTGTGTTGCAGTGATCAATTGCTGCGTTTCGAGGATCTGCCGGCAGCTCTTTGACCGTTACGATCCATCCAAAGCAAAGAATAAGTTATTTCGCTCTTTCCGGAATCGGAGACAACATTCAGCCCAATTGCAAACTGTTCCTTAGTCCTCCTGTTCGTACAACCTTCTAAACGTGGCGAAGCTTTTCGAGCGAAAGCGCTTTGACCCGTCCATTGACTCAACCCCGCCGGAAATCCGGGGCGGATCTCTCACAAAAAAAGATCAAAAAGAAAAAAGCTGGGAAGGGCGCCGTTTGTTTACTGGCAAGCCTTTTCAGCGAGCGAAAGCGGTCCTTTATGCCAACTCTTGCATAAACTTCAACCGCCTTTTCAAATGCAAGAGACCAACTCGGAGAATGAAAGCGCGCCATGTGTTTCGCAGGCCGATCTCCCCAACCAATTTCAGCATGTGAACGATCCAACTCGTCCCATTTGCCAGCCTCTGCAAATCAACTGACCGCCTTTTCAAGGGCAACTGTCCACATCGTAAGCTCTAAAAGCGCGCCAAATCGTTTCCAGCAAGAAAGCGTCTGGCTTGTCATTCTTCAAATCCACTGTGACAGAACCGACCACCATTTCTTTCCCAGGCCGGTCTCGGCGGCGCACGCGACGCCACAAACGTGATCCCCCCACAATCGCTGCTTTTGGCCGTCATTACTGCGATCCACGAGGAGCATCTCGAGGCGCTGGGGGGATCCCTCGAAGCGATCGTGCACGCCAAATGCGGAATCATCAAAGAAGGGCGGCCGGTGAGTTTTAGGGCTTAGAGCTCGGGATTCTAGGTTTTAAGGCTTTAGGGGTTTCGGGTTTCATGGCTTTAGGGTCTTTAGGGTTCTAGATTTAGAGCATGGGATGTCCTTGGCGGCAATCCTAGAGCTGGATTTGTGCCCGGGGGTTTCTACCGGGCACCCGAGGTTAATCTGGATTTGAAAGATGGGAGTGTGGCGCTTTCTATCAGAGCCCTTGCCGCGATTCTTTGGGCACTCGGGTCGGGTTCAACTCGGCGGGCTCGACCCTCTCGCTGCACAATGAGCCACGTGGTCCTCCGTAAAAGTGACACCTGTCATTGCAATGAACACCCGGAGTGATATGCACTATCGTAACGGAATACTTTTCTGAGCCAGCTTGTCACAAAGTAAGCCATAGTGTCGTGCAAATGAAACCAAAGTTCCTAAAATTGAGATCAGCGTACATGCACAGGGGACAGAATACATAAAAATCTGGACCTCCAAGAGAAGTAAAAGTAAGCCAGGATAATGAGAAGCTTTGACCGACACTGAAACCCTATCCCAGAAAGGTACCTGCTCCGCACCCCCCCCTTACCCACCCTAGCCCCACCCGTCCCAGTGCAATTAGGTTGCG